GGAAAGTCCCCTTACATCAATTCAGGGCTATGACCCGAGAAAAGGATTATATCCTAACTAATCTCCTTAAAACTGAATCTGTTGATTAATTCAATATATTGACTATCGTGTTGGAAGAGATTAAGGCATATTTTTCATTTCTTAAATTGATAGAGGCAAAAAAGTTAAAGGCATAATATTATATCCTACTTCTGTGAAGTTAACACTAAGAGAAGACAGTCATTCTTTTATTTTTTTTCATTGCCTTTTTTATTTTTTAATTCATGTGATATGACCACCAAGTGTATTTTCAAGAGGGCTCTGAATGCCTTAAAACTAATTGGTTGGTCACAGATTACATGACGTGTGACAAGTATTCATTATTCATTACTGCCATATTGGACCATTACATAACTGCCAATCCACTGAGAATCATGACCTAGCCAAGTTAACACATGTTTGGGGGCTGGGAGGACACAATTCAATCGTTAACATGTATTAAGAAGATCTCCAGGAGTATCTGTTCTATCATCTCAGAACCTTGAACTACTGCAGTCAGTCACTCTTATGAAAATGATCGGTGAAAATGTTATTGAAGACAACAACAAGGGTTCTGGCTTTCTAAATAATGAGGCACTGAGGAATCGCTTGATAACCAGATCAGCTAGGACAACTGCAGGCATTTATGCTGACTTTTTTTTTTAACGGAGAAAATTTTTTCTTAGCATCAACATATGAAAGTTCTAATAATACAATAATTTTAGTCATTAGGATTAAGTAAATATCACAGCAATAATGAGAATTCTATTTAGGTAACCACCACACACAAAAATACACAAGTCAGCTTTGTCATTTTTTTCATATTTATCAAAGGTAACAGATGATTATGTTTTTTGTTAATACAACACAAGAAATGAGTTAAAATGAGTTTAAAGGGACTACTGTTTGCTATTTTGTTTAGTATGCCTGCCCTCTGTTAGGTACTGCAGGTCAGCAACAGAAGCTCTGTTCACTCAATCCCCTGCCTCCTGCTCTTCTGCTCAATGCACTGCAGGACGGGGAAAATCCAGCAGGTGAACCCAGCTGTGACTGCTGCCATGGCTCTATCTCTAATTCAGTCTAATATAAAGTCATTTAAGTAGTGTAAAATAATACAGACTTTTAGAATGCATTTCTTCATCCTTAATGTTTGGTAGAGGCTCAGAATTATATTGTAATTTTGTGAACATATCATGCCAGTAGAATGGTGATATTATATGTTCATTTCAGAGTTAAAGTCTACTAATACATTTCAACAGCTTGAATTAGAAAATACACACAGAAAAAAAAAGGAAATACACACAGAATCTGTTAATCAAAATATTAACTATAATATTGGAAGAGATGAAGAAAGCTTTTTCATTTCTTAAATTGAAGCAGGTAAAGAAGTTGAAAACATAATATGACATCCTACTTTTGTGAAGTTATTACTAAGAGAAGATATTTATTCTTTTGAATAAGATTTTTAACCTTTTCCCAATTGCCTTTTTTTCCTTTTTTCCTTGGTATGAGGGGCCCACAGGCTGGATTTTCCTGGGGATTTCAAAGCATCTGATCTTTTCATTCCATTCTTCCAAAAACTGTTTGAAGCCCCCTCAGGTGTATAATGTTAGATTTGGAGATAATTAAACAAACAAATAAATAATAAAGCTCACTCATAAACTCTGGACTAACACATTTAATTATCCAAAAAGGAAACTTCTATCGTGGGGCAGGAAGTGGGTGAGTCAGACTATTACCAATCAAAAGATTTCTTACTAACAATTAAAGTAAGTTAACTCATTCCGTTTTAAAATGCTTTAATTCCTTTTCCAAGAATATTAGCAAAATAATTATTCCATTAAGCCAACACATTTTGGCAAATTAACAAGAAACCTGGAAGATAATAATGTGGAAATAAACCAGAAAGTGATTCCCAGAGTAGAACCGATATCACATTGCCCCTTCCGTTCAAAACCATTGAAACTGAGCTGCTATTTTACAAAACTGAGAGCATCTCAATTCTGAAGTGGGCGAGGGAATTAGCAAAGATCTTAAAGAACAGAGAAGATTCATGGTTGCTAAGTAATTAGGTTGCTAACTGTACTTCCTAAGAGAAGGGAATTAAAAGATTCAGAAAATTATAATAATTGAGTCTGGATGACAGAAAAGTATTAATTATTATTTCAAATAATAGCACATGGAGTTTGCTCTTGAGCAGGAGCCTGGCTAGAAAGGTTTGATGAGGGCCCCTGCTGCAGAATGCTGATCACAGCGCATTGTTCAAATCCAAACAATGGCATGTCGAACCATTTCACTCCACGAGAGGCAATCACCAAGTTTATCAAAAAGAAAAAGCACAATCATACATCATATTAATGAAATGTCATGGTGCGGATAAGAAAACAAGTAAAGAAAAATATACAATTGTGTCACACCTGCAGCTTTTTTTCAGAATTAGTTCTGATCCCTCACTACTTGGCGATCGAGCTTGACACCAGCCGTGTGTTGTGAGGCACACAGAGCTCTCCAACAAAATTCAGTTACGGGAGCTTAGGAGGGAAGTTGCAGGGTCACGCGTAATCAGAACTGGAATGGACTCACCATCAGCTTCTCCAATAAAACTTTACGTTCATGTTTATTGCAAGTGCCAGAAAAGAATCAATATTCAGATGTCAAATGGGAGATCTATCAAAGTAAGTCCAATATTACTGGTTCAAAAATAGTAAAAACCTTTATGAAATAAAAACATCAAAAGGTGAAGTCATTGTTTATTGACTTATCCTACATCTAAGTCTACAAACTCCTGAAGGTCATATTTCCATCTCTCTGACCCTCCCCAAAAAATTCTATTAAAAATTCAATCTATATCATGACAAAACCATGGTTTTATCATCCTCAAAGGACTCAAGTTGTCTTCCTTTTAATTGTGCTTTGAATTTGGGGAATGAAGAGAAATCTGAAGGGGCAAGATCAAATCTGTAGTGTGAATGAGGTAATGTTTCCCCACAAAGTTTTCACAGAACAGTCTTTGATAGCCTTGAAGAACAAACGTGTATTGTGGGGAAAATTCCTTGGTACAACTTTCCCAGCCTTTTTCTCAATGAAATGGAGTTTTCGATTTTCTTAACACTCTATCAAGATTAACCACATGAAGTCCCCCAAACAGCTGTTATAACTTGTTGAGCTGGTCTCCCTGCCTTGGTCTCCCTGCCTTGAATTTAACTGGCCCAGCACATTCCTTCAGAAGCTCCTGTTTGCTTGGTTTTTGTTTTCTAGGACACCCTAATCAGACTAAGACAAATGGACTATAGAGAGAACTTGTCTGCAGCCATTTGCTGGCCTCAAAGACACCTTTCAACATGCTTTGTTTAGAACAAGCCCATGTATGCGGGAACTCGAGCTCTAGCAGTGGGTGAGAGCACAGAGTAACGTTAAATATACTTCACCTGGGAAAGATAACAACAATATAATAAATTCCAAACCGTAGCACAAATGAACTTACCTGGTGAACTAGCAGAAAATGTGACTCGAGTGAGCGAGAAACAAGATTGGTAAGTTTTGACAGAGGTGGGGAGAAAGGACAGGCAAAACTCCAAATGTGGGAAATTTCCTAGAATTAGATCCCTCGAGGTTTAGCTCACGCCCTACTCCTCCAGGGAACTCCCTCCAGTGTGTTAGACCATGCATTCAGAACATGTGCAACTCTCCTAAAACACGTAACATGGTGTTGTTAAGTGTTGTAAGGTGTCTCTATATCATTCTACATACTAAATCCTTGAGAACTGGGAATATATCCACTTTTTATATGTATCTCCCAGAGTATCCAATGTGGTGAAATGAAATTGGAGTGGTTCTTCTATCCATGTCTTTGTAACTCTCACCAAATGATTGGGTGGAAACATGCATAGAGGATGTATGGAAAACATTAGTGGATATAAGAATGAGGCATCTCAGAAATAGGAAGAGAGAGAATTCTATGCCCATTAAGGAACCAAAAGTGGAGCATGTTCAAGATCCCTGCCTAAACTATTGGAAGTGGGGACCAGAGGCACAGAGACCTCAGCACCACACTGAGATCACAGGAAAGGGCAAAAGAGCCATGCTGAATCAGATCAAAGCGCCTCACCCCTGACACCGGAGACTGTGAGACTGCGAGGTAGAGTAGCGGCAGGCACCTGGCCCACAGAGGCAGATGTCAAGAGGCCACAGTGCCTGAGAGGCTGAAGACTAGAGAGGGAGGCTTAGTTGTTGGCTAAGGAGAGGTGCAGCTGTGGACCAAAGATTGTGTCCTTGAAGTTTTATGATCCTGACCTTTGGTAACCTATTAACTTATGTAATAAACCACCATAATTTTGAGTATTGTCTGTGAACTCCATGTGGTTATTGCAACGCATTATGGAACCCAGCAGAGAAGCACTGTAGTGGTGTCAAAATACTGTAAAGGAAGATGGAAGGTGGAGACATGTCTGTCCTCTGCTTTGTGGCACTCAGCCTTGGAGTAGTGTGGAGACAGATTCTCCTTGTCCCTTGTGTAGTCAGAGGTGGCTAGATGTGGCCTCCATGCCATTTTCAAATCCAACCATATGCGTTCCATATAGAAGGTATTTAATAAAGGTTAGCTGTTTCAATAAAGTACAGGAAGGGTGAAGAAGATTCTTCACTGGGATCGTGTGAGACGAGGGTTCAGGGAGAAGAGAACAAAAAGGAAGCCCAGGGAAGAACTAAAAGTAAACTTTCTCGCTTCACAATTTTGCTTAGGGTTTATAAACTCAAAAATTTGAGGTGTCATGTCTTTTCAAATTTTACGTCAGTCATTCACTATGAATATAAAAGTAGACTTGAAGGCTCATGAATCAGTGATAAAGCATTTTGATTTGGGTCTTGATAGTCTTTTACAGAAACTTGTATTTGTATGAATCCTGGGAAAATTACACAGGCACATTTTCAAGTCACTTTTGAACAAATCCCCTTTTGTCTGACAGCACTGGGTTATACCTTACCGATCCTCCTTTATCCCCTTTCTGACCAGGTGAACCTTGAGCTCCTGGCAATCCCACTTCTCCCTGAAGAAAAATGAAATTCTGTGTTATAAAATAAATCATCACATTGCTCTTTAACTGAATTGTTCATAAATATGAAACTTAAAATCATACATCAGATAAAGCATTTTCCTCCCCTGAGTTGGTGCACGTTCCCCACCTGGATTGCCTTTTCCCCTTGTTTGCAAAACTGCCTTTTGCTCACTCTTTAGGATCACGTTTTGTATCGTCTCCTCCAGTAACTGTTCCATGAGTTGGGCTATGTGACACTCTTCCCTGGCTCCCTGTACCATGCACTCGATTTGTTTACTACATAATGTCACTAGAGAAAAACAGAAGAGTTCTCTAAACAGCTCCACTGCCACACCCAGTAGATCACGTGTTGACAGAATGGATCAAGTCCAAAGATACTTATTAAGTCTCAACATAGGTGAGCTTCTCTCTTCCTTGAGTATGAGCTTAGGCAAAAGCCATGTCAAGACTGTTCAGCCTACTCTTCCTGTGGGCTTTAGGGTCATATTTAAATCCCACTGAAGAAGGCCCTAGAGGTTCTTGCACCAGCCTCTTGCTAGGCACTATGCTGTGGGGAAAAACATTCTTAGAGTAAAAAGAGAGTTCCCATACATATTCCCTATACAGTTTGTGGCAAAGAGAGGCAGCTGGTTTATAATTTGGGACACTGAACAAATATAGTGACTGTACAATAAGTAAATAATATAGAGTGTTTTGTGTATGATTGTTGAAGAGCAGGCACTGCATCACTATCAACTGAATTATCAGAGTATAATCAGAGTATAATGATGAGTATGCATGGTACTCATCAAGTAAATACCTCACCTCTCACCTTTCTATTCTCTCCAGTTCATATCCTGGAAAGGAGGTTCAATGGGCTCAGAACTATAATAATATAAATATAATATAAATAATATATATATATATATAATGAATAAAAATCCAGGAAACCCTTCTCCTACTGACTTTCTCATAATCCAGCCCAGTGACTAAGTGGCTTAGGAATTTGATTCAATGGGCATTGCAGGGCAAGACATGTTCAGTGTACCAGTAGTCACGTTCAAGGAGCTGGACTCTGTCTGCAGTAGCCTTTCAGGGGACATAGCTTGCAACCAGCATACCTTGTTTGGAATGCAGTGACAGTGGTCTTTAAGCTCTTGCTTTGTTGACAGGTGTGCTGACATTTCACTGGCATGAGTGATTACGGATGCGGATGCAGAGCTTCCAAAGTCATCGTGCTCTGGACACTAAAATTCAAAAAGAAAACTTAGAGAATATGGCCAACTATAAAAATGTTGGCATTCACAAAACTGCCTCCTACAAAAATAGTGGTGGTTGAGTTTGCTGGCACAAATTGCCTTCTTATTAACCAAAAGTAGATACACAGTGTCAAAGTTCCCAAACCTTTGCTCTTTCATTAAGCCATCCTGGTGTTTTATTATTGTAAGAGCACAAGATCAAGCTGTTGATTTAATGGGCCCTTTTACCCATTTTCCTTTGTGGGGTCTCAATTAGACAACCAAGACCCAGTTAGGGTTCACCATTTTGCTGTGGAAAACTGAATGAATGTACTAATTTGGGGATTTAAAAAATTTTGTGTATGTTGTAGTATTCACTATAAAACTGTCCACATTCGCCTCAAGTACTCAAAAGGAAACATAGAAGATACAATTAAAGAATTCTTGCTCTTATAAAAGCTCTAGTTTTAACTTGACACATATTTGGTCAATTAGCCCTTAACTTTTTAATCATATTTTTTTCTTTTCAACAAGTATTGATATCCTCCTCCTATTCATATTTGTTTTTCACTCTGTCTGTGTGTCTAGACCTGGAAGCTGACTGCTTCAGAAACTAAAACTACTATTTACCTGAAGCAAAAAGACATGGATACAGATTATATTGATTACATTCATCTTTTAAATTTCCCATAAAATATTAACACTGAAAAACATGTGTGATTTGAAATACCAAGACAAAATTAGATTTTGAGCAATTACATTTTCAACTTCAAAACATTTTGAAATGATACAAGAGACGCTACTTGATGTAGAGCACATGCACTTAGCTGGCATTCATATAAACATTTATCTTCCAAACCCTATATTTTCATTTGTAAAGTGTCTCATGCTTCTATTTTTTATTGATCATTAAAGGAATAGTGATGGCCCCCAAATATTATCAGAAGGAAGATCTGCAGTCGTGTAGTATTCCCTCCACAGTTGGAGATGAATTTCTATTTTCTTTTCTACTATTTAAAACCACTTAGAAATAATCCGTTGTAAAACATTACTTTTTTTCATGAAATGTGAAGTCACGTCATGGGCATTGTCAAATCATTCCATCCAGATTATCAACTAGACTTAAATAATTATCTGATAATTTGGATAAAAATGCCTATTATTTAATGACAAAGACAACGAATATTGTTCAAGAGTATGCCAGTATCCTCTGCTTTTTAAAAGTTCATTTTGCATGCTGCTTTTAGGAAAGACCAATAATTCATATCGAGGTGCGCTGGTGGTGCTGTGGCCCTGGCCTCGTACTGCTCACTGCGAGGCTGTCTGTCTAAAGCCACCACTGCTCAGCAGAAGAAAGATTAAGATTGAGCTCCTATGAAGATGTGCCGTTTGGGAAACCCTACAGAGCAGTCAGAATCAATTCAAAGGCAATGAGTGCCTATTTTCACCAAATAAAAGAATTGAACAGAGAATTTTTGATTTTATGGGGAAAAAAGCGAAAGGCAAAATGAGTGTTTGTTTTGTACCTGCTGTTCCAGAGGCAGCCATGTACCCGCCTAGTGAGTGATGCTAAGTTCCTTTCCCAGGAACTACACTCAGCATCTCAGCATCAAGCCGCCATGGTTTCAAACTATGTCCATGAACACTATATGTTAGTGTTATTTTAGATTTCATGTGTTATTTGGTATAATTTGGGTAAGTTATTTTTTGGTCTGGGAACACTGAAAAATGAGTGGTAATTGTTTCTTCACTTTGTGCCATTTTGGCTTATGAAAGGCTTCTTAAGAATGCTCTACTTTTAGAAAGCTAAGGAAACATGTGATATTTAAATATATAAAAATATCATTGTTACCTTCCAATCAGGGAAATTATTTTTAGAATGCTTACAAAATAATCACACAACTGAAAAAAATGTATTCGTGGAATTAGTATCGTCAAGATTTCAATGAGTGGCTCCAGGAAGTCTAGGTAAGTATTTCAAGTCTGTAGATTGGCATTCTAATTTATCTTTTTAGATATTTATAGAAAGCTATTTGGCTGCCTTTCATTTTACTTGGAATGAGAGCCATAAAATGAGCTAGAGATATACTTTACAAAGCTAAGTTACATAAGCAAAACATATAACATTTAGAAAGACATAGCTATGTTTTGAATCAGTTGGATACATTCTTATTCTACTACCCACAGTGTGCTACGGAATTTAAAAATAGTTTTGAATTATCACATCATTGATTACACTTTTATATTTTTCCATCATTAATTGCAGTATTTCAGAACATCTAAATATGAAGAAAAACTATATTTTGATTTTCATTAAAAATTTTTTCTCTCAGCTAACCTTCTATTCAACCTACCATATTTATCATTCGATATACCAATAAACCAAGAAACAAAATTTTGATTATCTCCTGCAACTAAAGCACTAGGACTAAAAAAAGAAGAGTATAAAATATTGCCTGCCCTCTCAATGAGTCTAAAATGTAATTGAATACATTTTTAAAAATCAAATAAGATGGCAGCCATAGGAAACTGAAGTTTGGCATAAGAAAGTAATAGTTGTATAGTTAGGTAAGAGTTATTAAGAATACGAGTCTAGGATCTTGATCTATATACATATGTTGTTGTCAATGGAAAGTCACCCAAGAAAATAGAAGATGGGGAACACGCTTTAGCTGAGTTTGCTAGCCCAGTTCCCTAGCAGTGGCTGTTTTTGAATAAATGTTTACTGAAAAAAAGTGAAATTGTTCACCAAGTAGTGTTGTAGGGATTATGCGGGGAAGGAAAAGCGTAGAAAGACAGGGAGTTAACAGGATAAAGCCACACTTCAGGCATAAGGCAAAGGCAGACCACCGCAGTGAAGGGGGAAAGGGAGATGAGATTAAAATCCATCACAGAGGTCAACAAGCCAGAATGGTGGACAAACTCGAGAGAAATAATGTACAATGAGGTATGATCAAAGACGGAGACCTTTGTCGTGTTTGCACTGCACAATCTAAATCTTCATTGGTAGATCACCATCTTCGCATCTCAAAAAAAATTCTTACCTTAGTATCTGATATTTCACAGCAGGTTTCTTGAGCTACAAAATTTGAGCTACAGTAGATATTAAGTTGATGAAGTTCAATCTATTAAAATATAAGATATATAATTCGCTTTTAAAAAAGGATCATATTTAGACACTTATGAATTATGACAACAATGGGGGGGGAGGTTAAATAAATTACTGGTAAATACAATTAATGTCTTTTTCTCATTTAATTTAGGATTCATCATTTTGTGAACTCTTTTAGAAACAGAATTCAGTTGCAAATACAGATTTATAGATAAAGGAAATCAAGTACTGAAAGCAATGGCAAATGTTGAATAGTTGTCCCAAACCAATAAAAAGGTGATATTTAAAAGAGAAGTTTTGTTGTGCACTGCAAGAAAACATGCCCTTAAAACAAGGACAATTCCAAGTACAAAGTTCTGGAGGAAAAGCAGTGTCAAAAGTCTGAGTTGTAGTTCTCATTATTCTACTTGAGGTACTGAAGCAAGAGCACATTTCCCAGTAAGTAAGGAAAAAATATTTAATAAGAATCATGTTTATGGATCCTCTTTGAGATCTGTGAATTTGACATTATATTGGAATAATACTAAGACTCGGGGTCCTTTATAACAAGAATTGATTCCTGATATTTGCTCAGCAGATTCATACTTTTTTGGCATTTGGATATGAAATTAAAAGTACTTGCTTTTTTATATAATCATTTTTAACGTATCATACCAAACAACCATCTACAAGTAAATAGTAGGATATAATATTGATAAAATATTAATATGATAGATACTTAAATAGGTGGGTCACATTTCTTAATCACTGAAGTGTAGTATTAAATAATGGTTTATATAATAGACTATTAATTGGGACTGTGAAATTAGCTTTTGGTTTTGAATTTAATAATCTAATTAACAAGTGACAGCATATGATCTATACTATAGCTGAGGAACAACCTCTTCCTCTTCTCTTCCTCATCCTCCCCCTATTGCTTCACCTCCTTCTTTGTCACAGAAATAGGTTATATATTACTTTCGGGCCAATAGTACTTTTTTTAGAAAGGCCCAACTGTAAAATAAATTATAGTAACAAATCCTATGATAATAGAAAGTAGACATCTATGATTAGTTCTTAATCTCTACCTCAACACCAAAAAAGAAAAACAGGAAAAAATCTATAATATCCACTCTATGCATGATGAGCAAAATCAATTCAACGCACAGAGAGCATTAAGAATTCCAGAAATCTCCTGAATTCCTGAGCAGGCTAAGATTTGCAGACAATGTAAAACTCTGAAGCCTGATGAAATTTAACGATTTCTTTACTATAACTTTATGCAAGGTCATCAGTAGATAACTTTTATTTATAAAGTTTAAATACACTGTCTTACATCGTCTAATGAAATATGAGTAGAAGCATACTAATTATCTAGGATGGATGAGAAGTCCAATTAATGAACATTCTTCTCCACTATAACTTTTCATTTATCATCATCACTGTTATTAAAATAGCCAATAAATAATGAAATCCTATTACAGGACCATCCACAGTGCTTGGCCCTTCGTGTGAATTATTTTACTTGACTAAAAATAGATTATCAGCTTTCCAAGGATTAGAAACCAATCAAGTGCTCATGACATTGAAACTCCAGTCAGCATAATTGGATTGTGCTTTCTTTATTTATTAGTTACTTTAGAATCCTTCACTGACGCAGCATTTTAGGAGACTCTTTACAGCTACAACCTCTGACTCTTGTCACGCTAGAGACTGGCCTGTGTTTAAAAGCCTCATTTATACCAGCTTTGTCACCTTTTGCTTTCTCACAAACTCATACAAACAGTATGTTTATGTATAATAAAACCCAATCAATAGAAAGCTATTTTTTTCAATAACACATCTTTTGAATAAATGGCATATTTTCATACTGCGACAGATCTTATGAATAAAACAGCTTGTATGGGAGATGTTAAAAAATATGTCCCTTTAAAGTTTGAAGTAAAATGCAAAGATTTTAAGCAATACACAAAATAGGTATTTTATTTTCATGCTAACCCTAAGCAGTAACTGTCTCCTAGTAATGCTCCCTCATTTTGATATCCCTTTAATTTTATCCTCAACTGAACCAAGATTCCACATCCAACTATGAATCACGATGAAACTATAAATTTTATATTATGCCCTTTTTATAACAACACAAAAGACATTCTTTAACCTCAAGTACTGCAAACAGTTCTTGCCTTGGGTGAGAAGTTAGTGAGATACAAATCATAGAATGTAGAATATTCAACATTCAGAGAATGAGCTCCAAGCTTGGAAACTGCTTTTGCAACAAATGGTTCCTTTCCTACTTACCCTGTCCACTTAGAGACTTAGTGTGGTTTCTGTCATTTCTGGAACCAGGACCAGCACATTTGCACCAATATTTAAGGGACACATTCCAATCCCAAACTCCTGTACACGTGGCAGTGTCCACACTGCAGTTGCTAGAATTCCCTAAAACTCACTTCCTACCTGTCTACCTTCCACCTACAGTGGAAATTCATACCCCTGATATTTTACCTACTGACCCCTCTCTTCCTCTTTAGGCCTTTCTGAAACTGCTTCTGCTTATTCTGGTCTGTCTCGTATTGGTATTGTTAGTATGATTTATAACGCAATGATCGATTACCCACCATGTATCAGTCTAAATGTTTTTAAGAGCAGTAACAGGACTTTGCCTCCACAGCCTTTATGACAGAGTTGAATGCACTTACAGAGAACTGACCAGGAATTAAACTTTGTAGCACATACTCTATAAAATTACCACCAGTCAATTTTACCAGTTCTATTTTATAATGGAATAAAAAGGTTCACATAAGTTAATTAGTTGTCAAGATCATAATGTAGCTGAACCAGAATAATTATATCACTGAGTCCTAATTCTGACATTCTCATTGATATGCTCACTATCAGAGAAAATAATTAAAAATAATATTGAGATGATTTATTTATACATATATATACCTTATAAATATAAACATTATATACTATGTAATTTTCTCCTGTAAGAATCTTAAAAAAAGATAATAAACTGCTGAAATATGTATTTGCGTTGAATTGCACCTTAGAAATAAAACTGAATTAAGTTCCTTGTGTTAATATCATTTGTATTTCCTTTAGGTAACCTGTATTCATATTATTTTTATGGGTTTATTGATCATTCTATCCATAAGAAAGATATGTCATAATCAAAATTATATAATCTATATATAACATATAACTTTATTTGTATATTATATATCACTTTATTATATCTGATTGTATATAACTTCTTAAAACTACAGACCTTCACTAATGAAATAATCAGTCTGTGTTACCTTTGATTATCTTTGTATTACATGTTATTTTAAAGAAACTTTTCATCTGAAAAAGTTTTAGCCAACTTTTCTCATTCAGACAACCTATGGATACATTTAATGGCTGTGTTTCAGTTAATTCAATTAATCTCTACAATCTTCAAGAAAGAATCTGCAATGCAATGCAATTGCTTTTCTGAAGATGAAGAAATAGCCTATTGTTCTTGAATGAAAACATCATATAATCTGGAATCATTTAATTTAAATTTCATCTTTTTCCAGTCCTCCCTATTCAAAACACATGAGCTTAGACTGAATTTGTTTTTTGTATCATACTCAATTCTTACTAAATTTATATATATGTGTATATACTTCAAGACATGCCCTAAATTCTTTTGAACCCAACAGGCTGGAGAAATGGGCAAGAGAAGAGAGTTGATTATAACATTTGAAAATACCGCCACACTTCTACGACAGTGTAATTTAAACAGTAACTAGGAGGGGATGCATTAGATAGTAATTAAAGGAAGGAACTACTAACGTTTTAACTTAGAAATGGCATTCGTTCTCGTTCACAACTTACGTCCACAGGCTTGCCGTCTGTAATTCGTGCAGCTATGACTGTCCGTCCATGAAAGTCAACCATGTCCTTTTCACTAGTCTGCCGTCTCGCAATTAAATTGCAATCCAAATAGAGTGAAATAACTCGAGACAGTATAACAATGCCGAGTTTATGCCACTGGCGATCAAACAAAGGGCGGAGTTCTCGGTTTTTAAAGATGTAGTTCAACACATCTCCCTCCGCAGCATGGAACATGAATTCCACTGCCTTCTTTCCACCATCGACCACTATGGAAACCTGGATAAAAAACAAACTGCCTTTGAATGTTTGAAAAGCAATGTTCAAAATTATTAGAACGTGTGAATGAAACCTCAAGATGCCTACTAGTAGCTGATGCCCTTAATAAAATATTTTGGATTTCTCCAGATGTGTTAATGCAAAAGGAACACCAAGCACCCAACTATAAAAATCATTTAGATATAGGGATGCCTGAGGCAATATGGTACGCACTCAATACGAGTAATTAAAGATTACTGATTTTAAAGGAATAAGATCAAGGTGAATTTACTTACCGTAGTTTGGAAACTATAATCAACTTGATCATTCTTAGTA